CTGATGAAACCAAGATTAACTTGCACCAGAATGATGGGAAGAGAAAAGTATGGAGAAGGAACAGCTCATGATCCAAAGTATACCACATCATTTATCAAACATGGTGGAGGCAGTGTTATGGCATGGGCATGTATGGCTGCCAATGGAACCGGGTCACTGGTGTTGATTGATGACCTGACTGCTGATAAAAGCAGCAGGATGAATTCTGAACTGTATAGGGCTATACTTTCTGCTCAGATTCAGCCAAATGCTGCCAAACATATAGGACACCACTTCAAACTGCAGATGGATAATGACCCAAAACATACAGCAAAAGCTACCCAAGAGTTGCTCAAGGCAAAGAAGGGGAATGTTCTTCAATGACCAAATCAGTCACCCAATCTCAACCCAACAGAGCATGCTTTTCACTTACTGAAGACAAGACTGAAGGCAGAAAGACCCACAAACAAACAGCAGCTGAAGGCAGCTGCAATAAAGGCCTGGCAAAGCATCTCGAGGGAGGAAACTCAGCATTTGATCATGTCCTTGGGTTCCAGACTTCAGGCAGTCATTGAAAAGGATTTTCATCCAGGCATTAAAGGCGATCCTTATGTTTGTCATGATGTTGGTTTGTTCCATTACTTATAAGCCACCAATGATGGGGGTGTGTGTATGCCACTGGCTGTACTTCTTGAATGGTTAGTGCCCCACTTTTGTCAAACCCCTTGAATTATAGCTGAAATTCCTGACTTTCCTTTCAACTTCAATGTGGTGGTGTAGAGAGGCCAAATGCCAAAACAATTATCCTTGTTCCAATATTTCTGGTCCTGACTGTAGGTCCCTGCAAACATAATTAGTTCTTCAGTGCCTTTGGGGACTACAAAAAGAATAGGAATGTTTTGTTTTAAACCAAGATTTTCTTTACTATATTGTTCTGAATCAAAGTACTTTACATCTAAGCCATTTCTTAGCTTAAAATTACTTTGGCTTCTTTCAACCCCAAAATATCCTCCCAATATTTTGGCTGCATAAGCTTATTTGAATTTTTTAAAAAATGCTATGAGTAGGTTTTAGAGTTCTGTTAGTAACAGGAGGTTTTCAGAGCAAGAATGCAGAGAATGCAAACACGCAACAACCTCAAGGCCAAAGTGTTTCTACACAGTAGGAGGTGCAGAAAAAGAGCACAAAATATCTTAACAGGAATGGATAAAAATTCTGTACCATCTCTCCTGGCTGCTCCAAAACTTACTTAGTTACAATGACTTCCTTTCCTGTGTTACACAAGCATTAATTTTTAGGTGTATTTGTCCAAGTCTCTGGGAAATGTATTCAGTATTTAAATAAAGGAAGGAAATAATTGCATTCACCTGAATTTGGGGAGGATGCTTCTCAATACCACTCACTCCAAAAAAGAAAAATGGAGCAGTACAGCATACTACTGTTGAATGTAATGACACCTGCAGGTGCTACACCGGGAACTCCAGATTTAATATATGCTTGCCAAATCTGAAGCATATATACAGTTGCATGTAACAGTTTAGGGATTCAAAACATTCAAAGACCAGAAGTGCCCAAACATTGCATGCTAACTGATGCAACTCAGATGACAGCTTCATAACTAATAAACATAAGAAAATTATAAAAGAATCGGAAATAAGACAGGTTTCATGCAGTATCTGGGAAATACATTAACTGGGGGAATAACACATTAAACTAATAGAAAAGCTATTGAAACAAGTCTCCACCAGACCAACTTAGAATGGTAGAGTTTTAATACCAAATAATCTGAAACAAGATATAGCAAATGGCAAACCTGGTCACCCTTGCCTGGGCTTCAAAGCTAAGCAGAATCAGAATGATGTGATGTTGAACTATGTACCAAGGCTTGGAAATCTGACAGTTCATCAGGAATTATGGTTGTATTGAGCATGGGGATTCCAATACTGAGATATTGGAAATGTGATATTCCAGATGTCAAGGATTGGTTGTCAGATATGTAAGATCTATCTGTTTTGGAAAAGGCATTTTCTACTAATCAAAGGATGCAGCAATATGTGTTACAATGGCAGAGATGTGATATTTTACAATAATATTTTGTATTGATTATAATAGTGTATTTATTAGTAAACCAGTGGCTATTGATAACATATAAGGCGAGTTTTCTCCCTTTTTTCCCCTTTTTTCCCCCTTTTTCTTAGTTTGTTTTGGGTTGGGTTTTTTCCTAATTTTTTCCTTTCCTTTTGGTTTCTATTATTTTTTTTCTTTTAAGTTTAAAGATTGTTTTGTTAATTGTGTATGTTAAGAACATGAAATGAAATGAAATGAAATGAAATGACATGTCTCAGGCCTGACTCATAATTGGATGGGAGACCAGCTGTTCATACCAGGGCTGAAGACTACATTGGGAAGTCAAACCAATAGCTTGGTTGTCAAGAAAACTGCATGGTTCTGTCCATGTAGTCAACCTCAATTTAAGGTTGGCTTTAGCTTTTAATGTGAAACAAAGGAACATACACAAATGTTGAGAATCAGAACAACTTGCTTAAAATATTCAAGATTTTTATTCACTTCATCCAGTAGCTTGTTTTCCATTTTTTGACAGTTTATTCCCTATTTTTCATGGCACTGCTTTAGGACAGAATAAAACTGGGTAATCATGTTTCTGGATATTTTTCCTATTTGCTTTTCTACATTTGCATTACATCTACAGAGTGTAATGTTATACAGAGCTGCAAGTAGGAAATGCTACAAATGTCATTTAAATTCAACAATTTCCATAGGAGGAGTTAATTTTTCAATCACAAATCTGTGAAATTCATCAAAATTTTACTCCTTTAACCCATTTGCATGTATTTACAAGCTTGAAAGTTATCTATAAATAAGATAATTTGTCATTTTTTTCCAGATGCATATATTGCAAATTGAATCAATTATTTACAAGTTAGAAACCAATCTTTTCCTTCTATACATATGTTATCACCTCAGTAGTGATTAAAATACACTTCTGGTGTATTTTAGTGAAGTTCATCATTTCAAT